AAACCCCCAAACCCTAAACCCCTGACTGCGTCTTTGCCGTCCCAGTGGCCACAACAAGCAGCCAGGGCCAAGGTCATCAAAATGCGACGCTCGGACCGCCGGTCCTGGACTCGCTTCACACATCGCTGCTTCTCGCGCCTAGTGGGAGACTATAATAACCTATTAATAACATATTATAACATATTATAAAGATAGATATATATATATATACATATATATATATATAGATATTCATATACATCTATATACTAGCAACTCGCACTACAATTTCGAAGAGGCTTCTTGACATCTACCCTTGCTGCACTTCCGCGGCCTCGGGGCTGTCCTCCAGGACCTCGGCAGCTTGCCTCAGATATTACCGACAGAGAATGCCAGAAGCCCCGAGCCCCAAGCCCCAAGCCATAAGCCCTAAGCCGACATTGAAAACACACTGAACACTGTCGCACCATCCAGCCCGAAATTCGCCCCCGGTGTGGCTCCAGCATGATTTCTGCAATGTTGTCTTGGTTGCGACCTGGGCGCTTTCCTTCTTCTGTCCGCCTCATCATCACCACGTGTGATGATGACGATGACAAGCCTGTCTCGAGCACACTTAGTCAATAACAAAATGTGCAGGTGAAAGACTTGCTGCTGCTGCTGCTGCTGCTGCTGCTTCTGTCAGGCCTCTTTCTAATGTCGATTTGTTAGCTTCAGCAGCAGCAACTATTTAGATTTCCGTTCGCCGTTCGCCTTCCACGACCAACACAACAAAAGTGCTGGGATAAGGGGGGGGCAGGGGGCACTACGGTTGCAAGCTGTACACCAAGTCAACGAGAATAACCCTGACTACAGAAACTGCTCGATCCTGTTTAGGTAAAGGCCAAGGACTAGGAAGGGTTACAAGATGTACAAATTTCTATGAATGCGTTTATATGCATGTGTTGCAGCAGCTACACTCTCCTGAACTTGATGCTGGGGATCCTACTCCGCCGCAGCATCGACTGTACCTCGGCGGCACCCTGTAGGAGGTCGCTGCGGCCTGGGTGGAATCGTTGGAGAAGGCCCCGAGGCAATCTTGCAGTGCAAAGATCATGAAAAAGAAAGCTGGGACCAAGGAGTTAAGGCTTCAGATTTCCAAAAGACCACCACACTGGGCCCGTGGGCAGGGGCATCGCAACGTCCCTGCCGGTGAAGCCAATGGTGCAAGGCGCCGTCGAAGGTCCTCCCAGCAAGTTGCCCGATTTCACTCACATCCGTCTGAACCCTAAACCCTAAACCCTAAACCCTTAACTCCTTTCCCCCCATACAAAGGGCTCTCCTGGAGTGACTCAAAGTTCGCCGCTAAGGCCTGCTCCAGCCGCTCAAACCTTCAATGAAGCGGTAGTTCCCATAAAGCCATCAGCTGCTCTGCACTCCTAGTAATCATATCAAACATATTGAATATACATATATGTATGTGTATATATATATACACCATACATATGTGTGTATATATGTATACATGTATGTATGTATATATATATATATATGTGTGTGTGTATGTATATATATATACACACATATATATATATATACATATGTAAGGTCTACGAAGCTATAAGGCGCCGACTCTTCCACTCCCACACCGGGCTCCTCCGACCCGGGCCTGGAGCTTCACGGCAGTGACAGCGAATAGTCACGGCCATGCTGGGTTGTAATTACTTTAGGGTTTAGTTTTTGTTTTTGGGAGGGGGGGGGGGTTTAGGGTTTAGGGTTTCGAATCTACAAATAGAAGCACTTGCTGCCCCCTACAACATGGAGATCATGACAGGTACTTTGTGCTGCATGTAAGATACCAGTGCTGTTAGTTGCTGAGCGGTGCGCATTTCATCGCCCTTCGCAAAGGATCGGTACTGGAAGCCTTGTCGGCATAAGCTTTCAACGGCCCAGAGCGAACAGGGCTCAACGAAACATGTGATTGCACCGAACGAGAGGGCATCGCGTTGGTGCAGCCGCTCGGAGAGGAGAAGGGCGCCCAGGGTTTCCTGCTGCTCTTCCTCACAGCAACTTGTTTCTCCGCAAGGCCGCATCATGATGAGTCGTGCTCTGGACTGAGCCGCTCACCCAGCCATCATCCAGCAAGCCAGTGCCTGTCAAGGAATCACATGCAAGTCTCTCCCTGCAACCACCGGAGCATCCGGAATCCGCCAGAAACCTTGCTTTGCTGTTGGCAAGATGACGCGAAGTTAGAAAAAAAACGGACCACACTGCAAGCACGAACGTTCGCGAAGCTCACTGATCTGCTCTGGACTCATGAGAGCGCACAACAAGCTGGTTTTGCGCTCAGGCATGGGGT